GGTCTCATACATTGCGGATCAAATCGGCAGTCATGGCACGCCTTCATTGCGCCCATGGACTTGGCTGCCTCGCCTGTCTCCGCGGGACTTTAGCGTGGTCTATCCTGCCCAGTTCGGTGATGTTGAGACAAATTCAAGCACGCCAACTTGTTGACGTGGTCATCCGTCGCTTATTGAAGCACGCAACTCCAGACTTCGACTCCTTCCCACGCTCCCCTCTCCCAATGTGCGCCGAGGTGGGCATCCACAGCCTTTCTCAAAGTCCTCTGCGAGACTTGTTTGAGATCGAAGCCGTGATGCCTGCCGACTTGAAGCGCTTCATCGATCAATGAGCTGTCTCGGCGCTCTAGAGCAATCAGAACGACGGGATCGCATCCCTTGCTCTGTTTGTCAGCAGCAGCAGCACCTGGGCGAGGTGCTGACGGGTCGTGGCTATCGACATTGTGGTGCGCTGCCGCACGAGAAGCCAGCACGAGTGCTTTCACGGTCGACCAGAACGGCGCAATCAGCGGCGGATGGTACAAGGTATCGGTCGAAAGGATCAGCGACCACGGTGGCGGCACCTGCGCATCCTTGCAGAGCTGAGCAGCCCATCGCGCTGCGCAGAGCTGGGCGACGTCATGGCGGGTGCTGTGGGAGCGCTCGGCCTTGGCGGTACCTGCATCAGAAGTAGCGGGACATTCCGTCCAGTCGAGGCAGGCGCTCCGAGGCGTCATGAAGGCATTGCCGTCTCCCTTTGGGTTTGCTGCTGCAGCAGCAAGCGCCAAAGCCTCGGCATTGTCAGAGAGATTCGGACGGAGCACTTGACATAAAGCTGGCTCGATGTCCGTTGCGAGCGTTTCGAAGCCGAGCCGAGTCAAGACGAGAGCCAGCATTCCCGTTCCACTACCCAGCTCGATGGCTCTCGGCGCATCTCGACTTTCGCGGCGGTTGGAGCGCGCAAGCTTGACTTTGTTGGCGATCAAGTAGCAGACCAAGATCTGACTGGAGAGCCAAAGCGTCGTTCCAGTGGAGGCTTCATATTCCGTAGACGCGGCAGAACGCTGCTTCAAGAGTAACGTGACGTCCAATGCGGGCAAAGGGTAGGGAAGCAGATCCAGATGCTTTGTGTCACTAGCTGGCAAGGGCCCTTTTTGACGTGCGTATGCGAACGCTTGGGGTTCCTGTTGTGCGTCACCATATTCGCCATCATCCGAGCATGATGTCGGACTTCGAGTTCTGGGCTGATCTTGCCTGTTCTCGGACCCGGACGAGGAGCCACGCCGAGCTCGGAGCTTTCTGTTCCTGCCCATTCATCCGATGAACGACTTGTGTGGATGAATGCCTGTAATTGGAGGTGATGCGAAAGAAGTCCTCGTTTCGAGTGTATCCTTTGTACTGATACGCTCTGCTCTGCCCGAGTCGTGATCGTCTGCAACAGCAAGAGAAGACAGCCGCCAGCTCGGCGCGCGGGAGAAACAGCCTAAGGAGACTGGCGCGTTATTCTTGATTCAAGATTCACCTTCGAGATTTTGATTGCCATGCACTTTGACTGTTCTTCTTCTCTGTCTATAGCAATAGGGAGGCTCAACGTAAACACGAGTAAGCTTGATTATGAGTCGATGAAACACAAGCAGGTATCAAGAATCAAATGTATGTACCTCGATCGAGCATTTCCGACCAACATACAATCACGTAAATTGATGCGCACTCAAGACAAATGCAAGAGTCATGAGTTGATCTGGCGCCCAGCTTGATTTCAGTCTGGTTGCTACAGTCAAGAGTTGTCTTCTCGGGCATTATTCAACTTTGAGTGTAAGTCTTGAATCAAAATGTGGATCTGAATCCAGAATGTCGATCGCTGCAAGATGAAGGATCCGAACAGCGCAGGAGCAGCAGGCGAATACATTCAACATTCTTGATTGACCAAAGT